TTGAAACGGTCCAAAACACGGAAGTAGCGGAAGGCAACACTTGCTCCGCCCACTTCCGGCCTCAGACTGTTAGTCTGGCGCTGTTGTCCTCAGACTGTCATGACGTATGGTTCTGCGGTTCTGCAGTTAGTCCTATCTCGACTCTTTCAGCAACCTCCGAGAACCGGTGCGTTCGCTCCTCACGCGCTCGCGACTCTTCTCGTTTACCTTTAAATGGAAAACGTTTGAGCGACGCCGTGATTGGTCCGCCTGGCTGTCAATCACGCGCGATGGGGCGGGACCTTCGGGCCGCTGTGACTGACGGGAATCAGCGGCGTTCGTCGAGAGCTGAGCGACAGAACCGAGAAATGGACTTAAAAGCAGCGTAACGTCGGATTCGTGAGGCTCTGCAGTTCGTGAAACAGCGATCGAGTGTGTTTAATGAGGAGGAGCTCGGTGTTACAGGAAGCGCTATTGTTATCGTCACATATGATTTGGACTCGGTATGAGCTAAAGCACCGCTACCGTCGCAGTCTGTGGAGCTGCCGTTAACGGACACAAGCGCTGGCGGTGAGTAACGACACGGTAATGACCCACAGCACGGCTCTGTTCGCTACAGCACAGCACACGGGTGCAACGGTGTAGTTTGAGGTAAAAGCTAACGCGAAGCAGCTGTGATGCTAGCTCTGAGTGAGCCGTGCTGGATGTCAACACTGAGCATATCTGTGCATATACTGACTCGAACCCTGACTGGTCGTCATTATAGTGAATGTATAGGACGCTAAGTGGTTATATACAAAGAGAGCTGTGCTAGGTTCGTGCTTCTGATCACGTGATAAAGTCATATACACTCGTGTTTCTGGTTCTGTGCTGCGAGTACACACAGAAGTGACCCGGATCATGACCTAGCTAGCACTGGGTCTGAAGAACTAGCACTCAACCTGATGCTTTTCAGAGTAAAAATAGATCCTTTTATGACCGCATGAGTAACTTTTAGGACTAGTTTAAGCAGTAGGCCGCTGGTTTGGTTGCTCACTGACCTCACCTGCGGCATAAACACCTCCAAGAAGCCTCCTGCAAAGCTACAGGACTGTGAATAGTTTTAGGCACTTTGAGCTGTAAAATGAGGATGCTGCCAGCAGGTGGCGCTCATGGACCTGCAGCAATACAGTGTTTGCTTGATTACCGCTGTAAACAAAGCTAGCAAACAATGCTTTAATATGCATGATATAGAGAAAACACCATCTAAACTTTCTGACGACAGTCGTTCATATAAACCCTCAATTGTATCGCGATTCGTTTAACATCTCAACCGACTTGAATCGTCACATTTTTATTGATTTATCAGGCTGCAGCGTTACATCCCTACAATTTAAGCTTGTATTGAAAGCATGAGAATGTAAGCGTCTGATCTTGTTGTTGTCTGTAGGACGGAGCCGCGAGGTAACCCTATGCCATGGATTTAAAAACTGCTGTTTTCAACGCCGCCCGAGACGGCAAACTGAGGCTCCTCCAGAAGCTCTTGGAGAACAAGAGCAATCACGACGTGATGAAGCTGATGGCGGAGAAGACCAACGGAGCGACGCCGCTGCTCATGGCCGCGCGGTACGGGCACCTGGAGCTGGTGGAGTACCTGATCGAGTGCTGCTGCGCATCGGTGGAGGTCGGAGGCTCGGTGAACTTCGATGGGGAGATCATCGAGGGAGCGCCGCCGCTGTGGGCCGCCTCGGCCGCCGGACATCTGAAAGTCGTGCAGTCTCTGCTGGGTCACGGTGCGTCTGTGAACAATACGACTCTTACGAACTCCACCCCGCTGAGAGCCGCGTGCTTCGACGGACACTTGGATATTGTCAGATACCTGGTGGAGCACAAAGCGGATCTGGAAGTGGCCAACAGGCACGGACACACCTGCCTCATGATATCATGTTATAAAGGCCACAAGGAGATCGCGCAGTACCTGCTGGAGAAAGGAGCCGATGTCAACCGGAAAAGTGTGAAAGGTGAGACGAGGGATGCGCTGTATTTATCCTCTGCGATGATATCGCAGTTGTTGTTTTAATGATGTGTGATTTGACATTATTGAGTATTTTGCAAAAACCAAACAAAACACCCCTACAGAGCACACGCATGCATGACGTGATGAAGTCTAGACTAGTGCGAGAGTGTTTCTTGTAGCTGTCGTTACATTAATTTATCATTTTGAGCAGGAGTCCAGGATTCATCGGGAGAACATTTTTAAAATGCACCTACTAGAAAGAAGAGCAATAAGACGACATTATAAAATGAAAAAGTGCGCTTTTGTATTTTGAACGTGCTCACCCACAGACACTCACAGGTTCATTATGAGGTATTAGCAAAACAACAAAGCTAATGCTTTTCACGGAACTTACGTAATTACCCATCATGCATTGTGATATAGCCTGGTCCGTTGGTCCGTTAGTTCGGATTGCTTTCT